CGTAGTGTCCAGAGCCTGGAGGCGCTACCAGGAGACAGGCCAGTACACCAGGAGACGTGGAGGAGGCCGTAGGAGGGCAGCAACCCAGCAGCAGGACCGCTACCTCCGCCTTTGTGCAAGGAGGAACAGGAGGAGCACTGCCAGAGCCCTGCAAAATGATCTCCAGCAGGCCACAAATGTGCATGTGTCTGCACAAACGGTTAGAAACCGACTCCATGAGGATGGTATGAGGGCCCGACGTCCACCGATGGGGGTTGTGCTCACAGCCCAACACCGTGCAGGACGCTTGGCATTTGCCGGAGAACACCAGGATTGGCAAATTCGCCACTGGCACCCTGTGCTCTTCACAGATGAAAGCAGGTTCACACTGAGCACATGTGACAGACGTGACAGAGTCTGGAGACGTCATGGAGAGCGATCTGCTGCCTGCAACATCCTTTAGCATGACCGGTTTGGCAGTGGGTCAGTAATGGTGTGGGGTGGCATTTCTTTGGAGGGCCGCACAGCCCTCCATGTGCTCGCCAGAGGTAGCCTGACTGCCATTAGGTACCGAGATGAGATCCTCAGACCCCTTGTGAGACCATATGCTGGTGTGGTTGGCCCTGGGTTCCTCCTAATGCAGGACAATGCTAGACCTCATGTGGCTGGAGTGTGTCAGCAGTTCCTGCAAGATGAAGGCATTGAAGCTATGGACTGGCCCGCCCGTTCCCCAGGCCTGAATCCGATTGAGCACATCTGGGACATCATGTCTCGCTCCATCCACCAACGTCACGTTGCACCACAGACTGTCCAGGAGTTGGCGGATGCTTTAGTCCAGGTCTGAGAGGAGATCCCTCAGGAGACCATCCGCCACCTCATCAGGAGCATGCCCAGGCGTTGTATGGAGGCCACACACAATACTGAGCCTCATTTTGACTTGCTTTAAGGACATTACATCAAAGTTGGATCAGCCTGTAGTGTGTTTTTCCACTTTAATTTTGTGTGTGACTCCAAATCCAGGCCTCCATTGGTTAATAAATTTGATTTCCATTGATGATTTTTGTGTGATTTTGTTGTCAGCACATTCAACTTTGTACAGAACAAAGTATTCAATGAGAATATTTCATTCATTCAGATCTAGGATGTGTTATTTGAGTGTTCCCTTTATTTTTTTGAGCAGTGTATTTGAAAAGATAAAAGATCATTTCACATGTTAAGCTAGTATTTGCTTCATGTAATTTGAGACAGTGAGTTCAAAATGAGTAGCCAATGACTGGTTTTCCCCCAAAATGTTCTTGGAATGAGGACTTGACTCTGATTTGAACGTCTGGAGCTGACTGGGCTACAGTAGACCAGAGACTGAGATTGAGTGGCAGAGATGGATAACAAGATTACAGAAATGTGCAGCAGTTTATCTGCTAATCTTTTTACAGATGCTGCAGGCTGTCCAGATATCGGATGCATGTGCCTCAAGAACACTCGCTCTGAGATAATTATCATTTAAAGGCTGGCTGCCCTTCATGACAGATTGTCATTGTGAAGGAGTTCAGAAGAAGAGAGAAGAAGTGAAGTGTCTGTTCTGGACGGAAAAATGGCAGACACCCCTGCATGCATGATTGACCTCACAGAGTAGAAATTGGCTCTTTATAAGGTTGCTGTGTTAAACTGTGGGCTTGTTATAAAGAGCAGCTTAATAACCACAAACCACAGGCATTCATGATAGGGATGCAAATTTTGGCAAACACTTGACCGATAACCGACTGTCACCAGTCAGCGACTAAGAGTTAACCAGCAAGCCTAAAATTAAGACTGTTACCCATCAAAATGTCAGTTATGAAATCTGATTTGCTGAGCTGCATTTAAAGACATTTTCAAATATTTGATATGCATACACTTATGAGTGCATACATCAGCAGAGTATTAATGCACCAGGATATTAAAAAATATTCCTTGTATGGACCATGGAATGTAGTGCTGATAGGTGGGGCCCGGCATCAGGGTATATGAAGTACATGGCCCAAAGCCGTATTAAACACACACAAAACATTATTAAACATCTATATCAGAACCTGGGATTGTATTACAGAAACATCTAAACTGTGAAATCTTATCTGTTTAGTTACTGTGACCATTTCAGTTCGGATTGAATTTAGGACAGCAGCTAATACAGAATGATAGTTCTTAAGTTCATAATCTTATCCTACTCCAGGTTCTAAGTTTTCTAAATTATTTTCTGACTTTGACAACCTCAGTGGTGTCTTAATTTCTGTTTTAACCATCCGGTTATATTGTTTTTGGGCAATGACATGCAGCACAGCTCAGTACTACAGGGAGATTCACTCGAAAGAGGCCCCGAATATTCTATTGTAACTCCCGGATAAAGGAAGAAACAACGTGAGCCAAAAAAACAGTACGTACCTTAACGTATGTGTAATCGGAAGTGATTTCCGTTTGTCTGCCAGACACATGAAGGGGTACGGGGGTATGCACCCGGAAGTTGCAAACGGAGGTTAAACGTCGCGACGGCTGTCCGGCGCCTACCTCATCGCTCAGACGCAGGGGCATCCTGGCTTGTTCGAAGCTCCATATACTGAGGAGCACATTGCACATTGTTTCCTTCAGATTGCTTCATGCTAGCGAGGGTTATTACAGAATATTTGGGGCCTCTTTCGAGTGAATCTCCCTGTAGCATAATTATGTTACATTTATTTATAGCCTACTGCTGACACTGGGATTTACAGATTTCCATTGTCCCACCTTACTATCTTCTTTTGTTAATGTTGATTAAAACTCGATACAGAGTTGAACATATGGCTGTTTCTTAGGAGGTATAATGTAGCATGGCTTGTAGGCCAGGTAGGGGGTTGTAAAATGGAAACTGAAACTGGGGAGCGGCAACGCTCTGATAAACAGTATGGGAAACCCTCAATGTTCTTAATCATCAGTTTGTTTTTTAGTTTTGTTTTGACCTTTTTACATTGGTAACAGTAGCTGTAACTTACCTTTTTAGTATTATTTTGGTTGTGTTTTTTAGCTGTGTGCGTATGGTCGGTTGCTAGGTAACAGACATAACAGTTGATTATCAACTTCGATCGAATAGATGAAGATTTCATAAGTTAAGATAAGATGCTGTAAGACAAGATTTTAAGTTAGGATAAAATTTGTTTTTGTAATACATATTTCTGAAAAATCTTATCCTGACCTATCAGATCTTAAGACAAAAAGAAGTTTCTGTGATACAGCCCCTGGTATTGTTTAAACCGAGCGGCCACCACTGCTGAAAAAAGTCCTAGGGAACACTGTATGACCAAAAATAAAAAAAGTTAGAAAATGACTGGACATATAATGTCGGGCTGCTGAAAGATCCATGTTCTGAATGTCTTAAGTTGTTTAACACTCTACTTTTTTATATTAGCCCAAGTTAAAACGAACATAAACGACTGGGGCTGGCTTTGCCTCAGTGTACCTCAGTAGTTCTCAAAAGCCATTGCTGTCCATTACGTTTTTCTCTGTAATTTTTCCACACCATGTGTGGTTTCATCGCACTGCTGTGCATCACACTGTCTCTCAGAAAACATGGATGAAAAAGTTATTTTTTTCTTTTTTTTTGTAGGCCTGTTTGGCAAAACTACCTGCCTATAGCGACCTAAATGTATAAAATGCAGAAAAGTTCCTTAATCTTAAAGATTTATTGAAATTAAAACAAATGAATGATATTTTTAACCATAGCATTCGTTCAGCATTGTTAATCAGTTAGTCATTTGCATCCTTAATTCATGTGATGTACATGCGTACACACACATCTGCTCAGATCATCTTGTATTTACATAGGTCACATTTTGTATGCATGTTGTAGAAAGAATTGAAACACCTTTGCTCTCTTGGAGTTTCTGTTGGAAAGACCTCTAGGGAAATGGCAGCAGGTGCTGTTGTAAACAGTCTCATTCTCTTTCGCATCATTTACCACTCAACAAATACTTTGCCTTAGGCCCTCAGCAATGTCCTCCATCTACACTGTGTGTAGCGTATGTGTGATGGTGAAATGCTTGGTGCTGTAATTACAGTATCTGTGCAGATGTAGGTTCCCTTGTAAGGTCACATTTTATCACAGGCCTCGTATTTTGATGTGTGTGTGTGGCTGATGCTGTCAGAGTGCATTATGAACAACGATATATTATTGTCAGAGATGTGTAATTGGTTACACCCTGTATGACCGTTTTTTTTTTGTTTTTTTTTTTGTTTTTTTCCTTCTTCTTTTCTTTTGTGCGCAATTTTTATTAGGGGTGCCACTGTAGCATTGACAGACAGCCTGTTTCAGCCACCAAGAGGTACAGCAGTCTCATATTGTTGCTGGTTGCTGTAGTAGGATTAGAGGTGATGAGAAATGGAGAAAGCCACGACTGAAAAAAAAAAAATCCTGATTTCCACTCTACAGTCTGCAACATACAAAATCTCTGATATTTTGTGGTGCACTTTGGCGTGCAAATGGGACAGGCAAGATAAAACTAACTAACCTGTAGTTTTATGCTGCAGAAGGTACCTCCTCTGTCTCACAAGGCAGGATATAAACTTCCTGGAGAACAGATTATGTATTTCATTTACTAAGCAAAAAGAAGTTAACACATCTTCTACAGGGAGCGAACTTGAATATGTCAAAATATATTAAAAATTAAAGAAAATATAAAATGTGCTGTAACTTTGGCACAGGCCACATTTTTTGCTTGTTTTTTTTCCCGATATGTCAGTGTCAGAAAATAAACAGCAATTGTTCATTAAAATGTGTAGACGTGGAGGGAGTACTATGGCAAAAAGATTATATTGCCATACTTCAGGGATTTTTAGGATGTGTATCTCAATAACTTGCTTTCTGAGGTTTAAGTTGAAATGGGAGACAAGAACCAGCAGTGCGGTTGTACAAGAGGTGTATTGAATTGACTGCTGCTCGCTCGCTCTCTCTCTCTCTCTCTCTCTCTCTCTCTCTCTCTCTCTCTCTCTCTCTCTCTCTCTCTCTCTCTCTCTAGAAAAGTTGGTAGCGTATCAGCGTGAGTTCCATGCTCTGCGGGAGCGGTTGCGTGTGGCAGAACATCGCACCCTGCAGCGCTCCTCTGAGCTGAACAACATCCTTGAACAGTTCCGCCGCGCTATTGCAGAGACCAACGGCAGCAAGGATGCTCTCACCAACTTCTCAGGTTATTACACATCGTTTGTATAGATGCATTCACTTTACGTTTATGTTTAGTTATTTTGCCTGATGCTTTTGTCCGGAGTGAGTTTAAAAAAATACAAAGAAATTCATAGCTTAAGAGAAACGATTCTCATTCTCACTTAATCAAGTATAGTGTAGCATACTGCAACAAAATCATTCTAAAGTGCAGCAGTACAATGAGACCTACATTCTAGCCTCATTTACATGTAGCCATGTAGTCATGACTGCTAAATATATAAGTAAGATGTTAAAGTGCACATACATAGTTAATTACATTGCTGTGAATGATTCATAGACCAGAGATAGCATGAAGAAGTGACCAATGTGAAAATTCAGATGTGAGAGGGAAAAGCTCATTACACATTAAGTGAAAATGAAAACTAGGGATGCACCTATATGAGAACTGTGTGCTGATGCTGATATGTTTCTTACATAAATATTTGCCCATGACTGTACCTTTATTAAAATTATAAAATGTGGAAATTGAGAATAAATTCACCTGGGTTAAGATTACAGAGAAACATTTGTGTGGTTACAAATGCAGTAAAATGAATGAAATGCAGACATTGTAACATAGTAGCCCAGCATTACTTCAATGTTCTGCACTTCTGGAGTACAGTGGAATGAATATATATATATATATATATATATATATATATATATATATATATATATATATATATATATAATCATCAGTTATTGATTTGAAATATATTTCATATCTAAACATCTGTCTGATGCGGATATGATTCAGACATCATTGTGCATCCCTAATAAAAACTGTTATTGGTGTAATACTCACTAGTCAAACTTAAATGGCCTCTTTGATTACCTATTCACAGCAAATTCTGCAGTTAAATCTTGTTTAAAGTTGAACTTTGTTGTTTTTGCTGTATACGAAAATGAGAATTAAGCTGTAGTTATATGTTATGCACAGTTCAAGGAATTTTAGAACCTTTTGAGTCCAGACCCTCACTGTATATTAGCATGAAGACTAGCTGAGTTGGGCGTTGTTGTGCGTCAATCTGTAATAATCTATCTCTGTTAGTGGTTTCAGCATCCTGGGTATAATGTAGAAGTACAGTACTTGACACAAAACAAAAAAAACTGTTTTTGTGCTTTGTTCTCTAAGTTTGTCCTAAGTCCTGCACGTCCCTTCCCGTAGGACATTTAGACTAAACACAAACAAGAGAACTGCTGTAGCGTTTTAAGGTGAAATAACAGGAACTTTGAATAAAAAGCCGACTCCAGCTTTGTCCAATTTCTGGAGTCATTCGTCTCATATGTGTGTCCCAAACACTCTGATCATGAGACTCTGCTGGAATTTAGAAAATATTACTCATTCACACTTTGGTACCAGCTGGTTCATGGCTTGTTGTGCAAACTTCATCACCCCAACACCGTAGCTTTGTCTGATGCAGTCAGACTAAGTCATTCATGTTAGGCTAAGGTTTAAAACCCAAAAGACCAGCTATTCCTTTATGTCTGCTGCCTTGAAAACAAAGTAGATTACTTCAGATGCGACACACTAGACAGCGGGTGGTGATCGAGTACTGCGTTTATTTTGATTTGAAACATAACTGAAACATCCATGACTAGCTGCTCAGCTAAACATGCTAACATTAGCTTGATTTGCTCTGCTTGTACATCACATTGTGTGTGTTTATCTGTGGCCTACCAGTATGATGGTTATATGACACAACTCATCCCTGAGGAAGAATTTCAACCGGTATACTGCGTAGTAGTAGTAGTAGTAGTAGTAGTGAGGATTACGCATTTTGTTTCGTTTGGTGTTATGGACTACTTATATTTGAGTTCTGTGTTTTTCCTCAGATGAAACACAGAAGCTGTTGAAGGAGCTGGCTCACAGGAAGCCTCTCCAAGTGCCAAACATCTACCACCACTTACCGCACCTGCTTAACAATGAGGGCAGCCTGCACCCTGCAGTCCAGGTGGGCCAGGGACGCACTGGAGGTGAGCAGCACACTTCCACTATATACATGCCCCACGTTTGTCTTCGTGTCACATTATAGGGCTCTTTGCTCCGTCTATACAAGATGGATGTATGATTTGTGCAGAGGTCACCCCTTTTGCAAGATTTCAGCAAAGTTTAGTAATGTTAGAGAAGTAATAAAATTTCAAGCCAACAGATGGATCATTTTTCCCCTCGTTTGTTTGCACATCAGAATTTGGAGGAAGCGTTCATTTAGTAGGTTATTATTCAGCAGCTGCTGACTCTGTTACACTAATGACAGCAGACTTGCTGTGAGAACAACATTTGCCCACTCATTTGAGCAACTTTCAGCAAGTGGAGTTTTGTCTTATTAGCACAATTTATTGGGGTAGCAGATCTCAGGGTTACTTGGGCTTTGAAATTGCTTTTTTAATGATTGTTCTGAACCAAAAATATGCTTACATTATGCTTTGTGATAGGAGCTTGTGTAGCCTTTTGAAATTAAGTGCAAGTCATTCATGAAGAAATGTTTTGTCATGATAAATAAAATTAACATTGACTTATTAACATGTACATGTTACTTGTTACTACTTAATAGAGATGCACTGAAATTTCAGCCATTTAGAAATAGGTCTACCATAGCAGCAAACATGTTGCAAGACAGTGGCAAGGAAAACCTCCCTAAGAGGAAGAGGAAGAAACCTTGAGAGGAACCAAGACTCAAAAGCAAACAGCATTAGTATAAAATATTGAGCCATTTTGCGGTTTCTAAGAGGGACTTTAGACAAACTATATAATCTCTGTTCATTCTAAATGTTAACATGGGGTACAAGAACTTCTCCACTATAGGTTTGATTCCACTTGAAATTGCAACATCCCTCTCGATATACAAAACATAGCTAGACAGAACCAGAAGGGAATTTTCCTGCTAGCATGCTAATGGCATCTTTTGCCACAGTTTTGAAATGGCAAAAAATTCACGAACAACACTACCAAGTCTTACTCTTCTAAATAATAGAATTAATTAGATGAACTGTTGTTAAAAATGTTTGATTTTGTGGTACATACTGTATGTTACATATAATGGAGCCTTAATGTGTGCTGTGCACCTTTGACCATCTATACAGCTACCATGTCTTATTCCGCATTCATGTGAGCGAAATCGTTAGTTTCCATGGAATCCATGGTCTGTAAGCTCAGTGGTCCGTTTCCAGGCCTGGGCGATACCTACATTGAAACAATAATTTCTAATTGCAAAATTGTGATTATCAATTATATACACGTTCCCAACAAATACATGCGGTCTGCTGTGACTTTGATGACTTTTTATTCTGTTTAGTTCATATGCTATTTTTTAACATTGCCTGTTTTAATTTTAAAAATCTCTAATAAATACACATATTGAATAATACAATATTGAGTAACCAAACCTCTTTTGAAAACTACTTCACTTAGAATAGACGTCACTGCGAACACGTGCATTTACAAGCTTCTTCTGGTGCAGATTTATGGTGACTTGCATGCTAAAACCGCTCACTGCTGGAGGAACTTCAGACTGCAAGCAATTTCCAAAACCATGTTCACATGGTTTCCATATTAAGAAACAAGGCTTTCCATTTTCCATCATTACAGCAGTGTTTTCATACATTTAACTAATGACTGTGACACAGCTGTAAAAATACTGCAGATTTTTTTCAGTAAATGACATGTAGTAGACAGATTTACTCTACCATACAGACTCCATTTAAACTTAGTGTTTTAACAGAAAAAGTGAAATAAAACATTGTGTTCATTTTATTTAATATTGTTTATTACCTGTTTTAAAAAAAACCTGTTCCCTGGCTGTAGTCAGGGATCAGAAGAACTTTCTCTCCAGGTCTAGAGCTAGCTGCTCTAGGGTAAAACCCGGTCACTTTAGCTCTGTAGTTTTAGTGCAGCGAGTCACGCTAAAGCCAGCTGAAGATCCAAAGCACAATGGCAGTTAGCTTTACTTACACAGAATGCTGCAGATTTGTAGTTGGACAGTGATTTTATTTTAAAAAGGACTTGAAAACTCACATGAAAGAGCTGGTGTGCAGCAGGGTGAGTGAATCCAGACATGTCGCTTCTGAGCTAGAGAATCATAAAGTCAATGCAGTCTGTCAGAAAAGAGGCTATTGCATACATTGAAAGTTTGGATACTGTAGACTTCCCACCACATACTGAAAAGGCTATCTGTTCCTGCTGCGTATAGTAATAATTTTAGCAAGTTTAAATGATGTAAACTCATTATTTGTTTTCAGCTCTTTTCAGTTTTGGTTTTCCATTGTGTCCTGAATTTTGATTTCAGCTGAGAATTTTTATTTTGGTGCATCACTACAGTGCATATGACTTTCAAGTGTACAATCTTTTTTTTTTTTTGTTTGTCCCCCCTCTTGACGTTTGTTTGTTCGTTTGAACAGCATGTTGTATACTCAGGATTCAAGATCCCTTAGTGCCACACAACAAGAACGACTTACTGAAGTCTTAGCAAAACCTTCATGATTCAGATCCGCCAAATACCCCTGTAAACGTCACTAATCTCTGCTGGTATTATATGCTTTGACTCTACTCTCTACTAATGAGTTGTGCAACTACATTACTTAATTTTTTTCTCCAGCGTTCCTGCCAGTCACTGCCTCTCATGGCACTAAACGTTCCTCAAGACGTTCTTCTTTTCCTCCCTGCCTATTTTTCTACTTCAGATGTTTCCCAGTAGCATAGGCCTTAAGGACCTATTGTCTCCAGAGGACACCCTCAGCAGCTATGTCAGGATTTCATAAGAGGATTAGGCCCCTTGTGAGTACAGTGATGTTAACCATAAGGACCTTTCTTGGGTCAGCAACTTGAAGGTTGGGAGGCCCAGCAAGTGAATTTTTCTGTGTGTGTGTGTCTGCGTGTCCTTTAGTCTCCCTTTCTGCAGTAACACCCTTCCTATTTTTGTGTATTGAATGATGAAAGCAGCACAAGGGAATTGTCTGAGGAGAAATGGAGATAAGAACGGGAGACCTGATGCTCTTCCACTGCGTCTCTGTGTGTATCCATTACCTGTCGGTAAAGGCTCTTTTTGTCTAGGCTGCTTTTAGCATCACTGATTCAGTGATAAAGCTTGGTGACATCCTAAGCCTGGAGCTGCCTTGCTCTTTTGTATAAGGTTAATTTAATCTGTGGTCTGTCTTACTGTACAGTCCTGTACTGGTCTGTATTGTAAAATGTTGTACTTGCACTGTAAGTAACCCTGTCATTCCTTATGTCTCATCAGTGCTACATTTAGAGACTTTGGAAGAGACCCCCTTTAGCACATTAAAATCTGCTTCCAGAACAGTTGCAATACTTGCATCAACACAGTTGGTGCAGTAAAATGTATTGGTATTTGGTATTGAAGCTTTTTGTCTGCTACTGTTTTATCACTATATAAAGAAACATGATGCTTTGCAAACATTCACATTCAGATGCTTCTCAACTTTCACATTCAGACCTGAAGACAGTTCAGATCAACAGTTCGGACTTATTGATTGATTTTCATCAAAATACCGTAAACTGTTTGTGTATGAAAAATATATTCATTTTTCTACAAATCTATGATTTTTTGGGCTTCATGTCCTTCACATAAAAAAGTAAATGTTGTAACAGCATTGTGTTATAAACAAAGAAGAGAATGGCCACTCTTTTGGATTAAATGGTTAATGGCAACGTAATGACTTCAACGATGATTTGACTACGTTAAACCTGGCATCAGAGTTTGAATTAAAGTAGAATTCCACCAATTTTTCAAATAATTTTTTAAATCATTAAAATGTAAACAAACAAAAATCGTATCACATTGGCTCAAAAAAAACAAAACAACCAAAACAAAACAACAACAAAAGAATCTAGATCCAGTCCTCCAGTGTTCAAATTGTTAATATCAAAAGCATGTCCAAATTGGCAAGCATTCAGTGCATTAAAAATCGCTTCCACTGCTTTCATCTGTCAAACTCGACTTGGTGTGAAAAGTCCTCGCGATGACTAAACATTAAATTAAAATTTAAGATTGAAAGATACCGTGGCTGAAGGCGTTTCGCTGTGTGGCAGTGAGCTTAGACTGCTCTGCTGACTGTGTAAACCAGGACTGGAGTTTCAGATCAGGGATTAGATCTCAAAACACTCATGCATACAAAAAGGAAAGGAAGAAAATAACAATTTCAAGGCTTTTATTGATAATTATGAATAAACTGATAACTGATCCCAGTTGTAAATAAAATAGTTTTGAATATGCTGCTGGATGTCTGAGACATTGTTTTATGATCAAAAGAGAGGGTTTTGGCTTTAAATGCTTTTTTAAAAAGCCATTCATGACTGAGAGATACTTGCAGGGCATAGCCTGGTACATGAAGAAAACTTTTTTTTTGTCAGATTTATCGCTGTTTTACTATTATCAACATTATGTATAAAAACTCGAAAGACACTTGTAGGTTGACTGCTGGTTTTGGCAAAAAAATTAATGGGTTTATATTATCCTTGGTTCCTATCACCTCCATTGAAAAATTCATCAGACCACTCTGAATGAGTTAAACAGTTGAACTAAGAGTATGGATTATGCAGCGAATTTTAAAAATAAGTGGAATTTCTCCTTTAACAGCAGTAATGTCATGAACATCCTGTGTCTGTGCAAAGGCATTTTCTGGTAATGTTTTTAATGTTTTTAGAGATTGTCTTGCAGGAGCCCACCCGTGCACTCTGCTCCACTTCCCTTAAGACACAATTCCCCTTCAGGCCAAGTAAACATCTTTGCCCCTTTACTCTCACACTCCCGATGGATTCTCCTCATGGACTGTTCTGTGCTGTCTTCTCTCTTTCTCACAGTGACAGTGTATGGTCCCCACTCCTTCTGAAGTCTGTAGTAGATCATGGCTGAGAAGGAGCTATTTTTAGGTGCGTAAATTGGGACATCTTCGCTTGTCCAGGCCCCAGAGACTCAATCCCCCACGTTCACCCCCATTCCCCCAGACACAGAGAGAGGAAACGACAGAGCCTGATTAAGAGAGACTGAGTGAAGGAAAACTAAATGAAATGAAAAGAAACGAAACCTGTAGGAAGCGATTTTACACACAAGTTTATGGCTATAACAGCATCAATAGTCAACTTCTGCCTCTGCACTGTTTATTTTGTAGGGAAGTGCCATGAATTAGAAATGCTTCTTCTCAGTAAGGAAAACATTTATTGTCTCCAGATTTGCAGATTTGCGACCGTTTAAGCTCAAAGCCACCTTTAGTTATACCATAAACATGCCTGTATCTCAACACCTTTTCTACTCTTGGGAAACAAAATAAAATGGATTGTTAAAGATCCACAGAGGCACTGAGCATTTTCTGTCTGAATGCCTGAAGGCCAGGCATTTAGGAGGAGAGGGATGTAGGACATGTTTGTGTGGTGTGTGTGTGTGTGTGTGTGTGTGTGTGTGTGTGTGTGTCTGTCTCTCTCTCTCTCTCTCTCTCTCTCTCTCTCTCTCTCTCGCATATGAATTTTTCTCCTCTTTGTATCTTTCATGGCCTACCCCCCGACTCTCTTGCTCTTTCTGATCCTTTCATCCTCGACCTACTTTACTTTCTTGCTGCCTGGTGTTCCTCTGCAGTGCGAGATGATACAAAATGGGAGCATATTTGATTTCCATGTTTTGTGTTGATGAAGTATGACAGTGTTTTTCACTAAAATACACACACGCTCAGCTGCACCCTCATGAAAATGGTAGCTCGCATGTATTGCAGAACATACTGCCATCTCTCCCTCAGCTCAGCTTAAAGGGCTTTTTATGCGGGTGTCTGTATCTCTGTGAGTGGCAGTGCTTTATGTCTCAGATCATCCTTTTTGTCTAACCTTGTGTCATGAGAACAAGAAGCTCATCACAAGCTTGTGTATACACTTTTCAAAATAACAAAGGGTTCTTTGGAGTGATGCCATAGAAAAACTACTGAGTTCCTTGAGGATGCATTCGATGGCTGATTCTTTTTAAAAATAATTTTTGTAAATGAGATTTGTTAGTTTAAAGAACCTTTTTAAAAGTTCAAACTTACTGAAATGTTTCTATACTAATTAAAGGTATTTTCTCTTGCGTCATACACCCAAGCCAAGAACCATTTAGAAACCATTATTTTTAAAAGCAGGGCTTCCCAAGGTTGCCCTGAAGAGCAAAGTTGGCTCATAAGAGCATTCGATTAGGCCTGCTGGAAAGTTACACAAATCCCACCCCCCTCAACCAATAACACTTTATTTAAACCTTGCTATATATCACTTACATAACCATTCCGTAAACATGTCATGGCATCATATGCTGTAACTGTCTGTCAAGACAGTTCATATGCAGTAACGTAAGTGTCATGTTACCATTACTGGCGATTGTCATGACAGATGCCATAAAATGTCATGGCAGTTTATGTCTTGATGCTTTTTGCTGTGTAGTCTGTTTAGCCATCATAACATCAGACATTTTTACATCATGTCTATTACCAGTAATAGGAACATGGCACTGTTAAATTACTGGGCATAATCTGTCATGATAGCATACGACATTTTCCATCACATGTTTATGGCATGGTTATATCAGTGTTAAGGTGTGTGTGTGTGTGTGTGTGTGGGCTTCCCTGTTTAAGAAGGAGAGCAAATCAAATGGCAGATGGAAAAGAGCAGAAAAGGTGAAGTCAGGCAAAAACTCATGCAGAGAAATCTTAATGTACATTGTATGAAAGATGATCCCCATCTGAGTGTGTGCATGTGGTTTGTGTTACTCAGTAGCTGTTGTTTTTCATATGGCCACACAACTTGGTATCTCATGTCCCATCGCCTCATTGTTTCTGTGTGTAGGTGTGTGTGATCCTTCGGCTGGGTCACAATTTGCTCTCTTTGCAAGGTTATGATAGAAATCTAGCACTTTATTTTGACTGCCCCGTGTATGCATGTAAGCTTATCCCAGTACACTACACATTCTGTCCATTTTACATCTCCCTTCTCCATCTTCAGAATAGTCCTGTCCAATAGCTCTGTGTAATGCATTAGCCTCGGGGGCTCTTCTCCCTGTTCCCTGAAAGCCTGCTTGGTATTTAGCACTTTTATTAATCTGGGCAGGAGAGAGGTAATGCCATTAAGCCCTCAGAAAACTTCCAAAGATTCTGGAGCGGTCCAGGACCTGTTGCACGTTTTCCATTTTACAAATTTGAGTGACTGGAATGTTCATAGGCTAATAGAAATGATTAGTTTTACTTTATGCAGTGAACATACTTTATGCAGTGAAAAATGAATGCTTAATTTTTTTTCTTTATCCTGTTTAGTTTCCATGGTGATGGGGATTCCTACAGTGAAGCGGAAAGTGAAGTCGTACCTGTCAGAGACGTTGCATTCGCTCATTGATAAACTATCACCTGAAGAGAAGCTTGACTGTGTGATCATAGTCTTCATAGGGGAGGTGAGTGTGTTGTCAGCTTGAGAGGAAAAACAGGATGAAAGGTGTGGGGGGGGGGGACATAATGTCTATACGAGTGTTTCTCAGATTTTTTCGTTTGTGCTGGGAAAGTGTGTTGCAGGGTAGGGTTGTTAGCAGTATTGACCATATTTATCGTTATCGTCATAAATTATGTCACAGTATGATTTTCTGAGCATATAATGCGTATAGTCTGTTCTTAAACGCTTCCCGACTGCATATGTGGTTTCAAAGAGAGTACAATTAGTTCTGTTTAATTAGATGTAGTCCAGCACAATGTGTGAAATTTTAAATACAATTCAGTGGATTCAGAGTTTTGATAGTATTTTTTGCCATATTGGCCTGCTTTAGAGCTGGGTGGTATTGAAAAAAGTTCATTTAATATTTAAGTTTACAATAAAAGAAAGGTGATGAACCCATGTTTCTTGAGTACTGATATTCTGTTGAAAGATTGTCTTACAGACCTAACATAGCTTGTTTTGTTCTGTTCTGCTTCTCTTAAAATTACTCCAAAGCTTACACAATATTGAAAACAGTAACCACATAGAAACCAGGGTCTGTATTCATAAAGCTTCTCAGAGTACAAGTGCTGATTTGTACATTATTGATAGGAACAGATCCTGGATCAGCACACCTACTCTGAGAAACATTTACTTTGTGTGTATTTTGACCTGTTCTTTCAAAACATTCTGAAGAACTCAGGAAGTAAAACATGATTGTTGTTGGCTGACACCAATATTGGTTACACCGGTATGGCCCATATATCACAGTGCTAGGAAACTATAAAAGGATACCTGAAAATATGTTTGGTCTTTAGTATATTATTAAACCAATCAGAGTTAACCACAGTTCCTTTCAAGCTCACATGGATGTGTTTTTGGATGGTTAAACTGGGTCAGGGGGTAGCTGTTTGTCTGCTGCTTGCTCAGAGGGGGTCTTTTCAGTCTGAGCTCTGGAGGAGACTGGGTCTCTGCTCCATTATGTGCCTGTCAAAAAGCTGTGGGGCAAAATGAAGGGAAAGACAAGGAGGCATAAGAAGAGGGACGCTTTTATAACTGCTCTACTTTATTGACAGCAAATGCTAATATCTGCGTTTTGTTCATGTGATTTTTCGAAAACAGTTAGATTTCCACACTAATATCTGTAGCGTTTTAACTGCTTAAAAATCACAGTTTATATAATGTAATGACATTAAAAAGGTCTCTTGGCTTGTATTCCATCACAGATCATTAGCATAGTTTTCTAGGCAGAACAGTTGGCATTTACAAATTTGTTGCTTCACCAAATATTTTGAGTGTGTGTGTGAGAGAGTGTATCTGTCGATCTTTGTTTGTCTATCCGTATAGTAACACTAGTGTGTTCATTTGTGAGTATTCTAACCAGATATGCTTTGTTCTTTCCCACAGATGGATTTAGATTATGTGCACGGTGTGGTCTCAAGCCTTGAGAAAGAGTGAGTTACTGCCATCTTCTTGCATAACCAGACTGTTTAAGCATATGGTTTCAAACAAGTATTATTACAGCAATAGACCTTTTGTAAAACATGTTAAGACAATTGTAAGATACATGTTAAAGTATTTGAAAATATGTTGCCTGTCTAAGATTTGCTAAGACAGTGTTTTGTGGACAGATGAGACATCTGTAATGTTTGTAGAAAACAAGCTGCTGCACATTAGCACCTCATTTAAACTGTGAAGCATGGTGGAGGGAGTATAATAGGTATCTAATTAGCTGGATGGGTTACAATTGTTGATGTCCCACTACCTTTTTAAAAGCAATAAAATGGGTGCTGCTGTTCTTTTTATTTCTGTAAAAAGTGAGAAGATCTGTACTTTAACTTGATTGAATATTTAAAATTAGCGTTTAAATAATCACAAAAACACACAAATTCTGTATCCACGTCTGGTGTGGTGATCTTGGGCTGTTCCCCCTCACTGATATTGAACCTGTGATTCATTTCTTTCTTTATTTCCAAGCAATTTAATGTTGAAAGACTTATTAACTGCTAATAAAGTATCTGATTTGACAGCCTAAGATGGGAAAATAATATTTTCTGGAGTTCAAGCACTTATTTTGATTAACACTTTGTCAAAAATCATCAAAGAAAATGTTTAAAGCCTTTCAAGGCATAAAATGAACTCTATTCATAGAACGTGCCACCAATGAATTACACCTTGTTCCAGGCATTCCTACAGCAGTTCGCTCAGTGTCAGGCTGCTGTCTAAAACTCAAAATAAACTGGGTCAGAAGCACGGTAGTGAACCAAGACACAAGTAAATCAACAACAGGGTAGTTCAAACTGAAGAAATTACATGTTCACAATGCCAAACTCTGGTTCATGTCTCTAATCCCCTGAAACGCTCTTGAATGATCTAAAGCTCTAAAGATGAGATTATCTAAAGCAGGCCATTCAAGGCATGAACTGAGAAGGTTTTGTACAGAGGAATAGGCAAAATACTTCCTGGCTGGTGTAAAGGACTGATTAACTGCTGCAAAAATCTGTTTAAGGTTCTTGCCAATAAAGAACTTCCACTAGCTGCCACATATAACGGTTCTCATACTTAACTCACTGATTTTGGTTGTTTATAGGCAGTGGTTTAAAGTAGATAGATACATATGTCACTTCCGTTTATTATTTTAGCAGCCATTCGTGTAGAATTCAAGACAATTCAAAAGTGTTCACAAACATTTTCTCCCACCTGTGTCATAGCTTAATTTTAAGCTTTTATGATTTTCTTTCTCCATCAGATTTTCCACAGAGCTGAATTCAGGGCTGTTGGAGGTCATCTCTCCTCCTGCCAGTTACTATCCAGACCTCAACAACCTGAAGGAGACTTTTGGAGACTCCAAAGAGAGAGTGAAGTGAGTATGAAGTCTTTCACCACACAAAGCCTGAGAGATTACTTCTTACCTCTATATATTATGCTGCTCAGGTTTTGTTTGCTGATATTCTTGCTTTCCAAAAAAAGCATTTTTTTCTACATTTGAGTGCAGCAGTTGCACTTTACGTTTTGTGAAAATTATGATGTGTAATGAATAACTATATGTAATATATATATAGTATATAATTTTTTTATTATTATTATTTTTAATAACTATATATATGTTTTTGGACAGCGACGATATGAAGAAGGTCTGTCGATTACATTACCCTGTTCATGGATTAGCATGAAGACAGTTATGAACAGAATGTGATTGACAGACCTGTTTTTATTATCCCTTTTTTTGCCTTATTGCATACTGTCTTTTTCCAGGAAAGTATTCTGGAATCTTTTTTGGGAAGGCTGTGCATGCTTTGTTAATGTTCTGTTAGGTCCTTTTTAAGTTTTATTTGGTTGGCTTTGTTAAAAAAAAAAAATCAGATTACTGAGTTAATCTGTACGTTACTAGAGTACTAATTTATAGACAGCTCTAGTATGAAGGAAAAAAAGCAGAGAGTGAGAGACAGTCAGTTATTCTGTATTCATCAGATGTTCTCAAAGTGAGACCAAGGTCAATCTGCTGCTCACCCTGTTTTTTTTCCCCCCTCTTCTTCTCTGTTTTCCTTTTTCTTTATCCATGATGACTGTCTTTAAAAGCCTCTTTCACATCCACTTCCTTTTTCAAATGTGTTTCATCTACTGCTCTCTGTATTCAGGCTGTACATCTCTGTGCAACCACTTTTCACTAGAGGTCATTAGCGCTCCTGCTGTATGTCTGTCCGTCTATCCATATCTCTCTCTCTCTCTCTCTCTCTCTCTCTCTCTCTCTCTCTCTCTCTCTCTCTCTCTCTCTCTCTCTCCCCACTCTCCCCACTCTCTCTCTCTCCCTCCCCACCCTCTCCGTCTCTCCCCCTCTTCATTTTCCATTCTCACTATTGATTTATCTCTTTATTTCGAAGCTCTCTATTATCAAAATTTAAATGCTTGCTTCTTTTTTTACATGCCCCTTTTATATTGCATACATGTTGTAGTTGTGGGCTTACTACATATTTATGTAGAGTGTCAGTAAGGTCTGAACAAGATATGGGATAATGAGCAAGCAGTGTTGTTTGCAGCTTAGTGTATGTATGTATGTATGTGTCAAATGGAGAGTATAATAGACTCAGCACATCAAGGTTTGCTTAAAGCTTTGTTTAGAGATGACAGCAAGTGATTACTATGGATTGTGTGTTTGAGAGAGAAAGAGGAAAGAATTGTTTTTACTTTCTCAAAATTCATGGGTATGTCAGACAGTCTTGTATGCCATTTTAAACATGATAGATTGTAGAAGAAAATGTAGATAACAAAGTGACTTTTTTGTGTCCTACAGTGATGAACTGAGGCTTTGCAAACCTGCCAATTTTAGCTATTGCCTATTTTATCCATACCGTTGTCTTGAGTTTTGAACTGCCAGCATTTAAGCTTTAAGATCTCTTGGCCAAAATAGCAGGTCTAGACCTCTGTTTATGATCAATATTGCAGTCACCATATTGGGCAGAAAGAAATGTGTGTGTGTGTGGGTGTGTGTGTGTGTGTGTGTGTATGTATATATGTATATATGTATATATGTATATATCAATTTCTTTATCAGCGCATCCCTAGTAGTAATGAATTAGTGTTTCTGTTTCTGTAACAGTTATCCTGTACTTTTACAGATGGCGGACCAAGCAGAACTTGGACTATTCTTTCCTCATGATGTATGCAGTTGGCAAAGGAGTTTATTATGTCCAGGTAAGGACAGAATACAAAGTTTAAAATGCACTAGCCAGGCTTTCTGTACACGTGCAAGAATATTTTAAGCAGCTTCCCAAGTAGTCATTAACACTTTAAGTTTAGCCTACATAGAATTCCAGTCGGAAGCATATTTGGGTGTTTTGGTCTGTGTGCCTGTATGGAGACAGACTGTGTGATAGTGTTGCATTCTCAGAGGAATCTCTTGCATCACTATGCTGGTTCTTGTCCAGCCCTGAAACTGACGTGAAGAACAAACAATCTCCACGATCATGTCATGTCTTAACCCCATACCCTTCTCATTCTCATCCCTTCACTCCACTGGAAATGCCACCCAACCATCCCTGCCATTTCAGCTTTCTCCCTGTGAATTAATATTTTTGTTTTAATTCACCTATGCATTTTTTTCTTTTGATTTTTCTTCTCATTTGTGTCATTTAGTATGTTTAGCTTGTCCATTTCTGTCTTCTCCTTCCATGCTATGCTCTCTTAGGAGAGGGTGAAGGTATCACTTTCCTCTTTTGTCCTTAAACCAGGTCATGTTAGTCACCAACATAATAAGCACTAGGTTTGTGTGTGTGTGTGTGTGTGTGTGTGGATGAGAGAGAAAAAGAGAGAGAGCGAGATAGAGGGGTGTTAGGAGATTTATATACCCATGTTTGTGTGTGTCTGTGTGTATGGGAGAGAGACAGCTTTTAACTGAATTGCAGAATTACCCTGCATGCCTCACTTGCTTGTTTATCTCATAGTTGGAGGATGATATTGTTGCGAAGCCCAACTACTTCGCTACTATGAAGAACTTTGCCCTGCAGCTGGCCTCTGAAGACTGGATGATCCTGGAGTTCTCCCAACTAGGCTTCATTGGTATGATCTTAGTGTCAAAAGTGGGTTTTGTTGCTCAATGTGGCCAATAACGGCTTACTTTGACAGCAATGGGCCATTTGACCAACATAAAAAACGACCGACAACAACCATGATGTGTAGGGGCAGGCAAGCTGCCAGTTTTGGTTGAGTTGTCACGTACGCAGCAGTGATTGGTCTAACTCATGACTGTGTTGTGATTGGCATCATGAATGCCAAAACACAAAAAAAGGAGACCAGCCCTTTAGCAAACATGCAAGGATATCTCATTTATTTGCAACTAAATGCTTCAAACAAAATATTAAATAATGTTTTAAGATGCAGTGCCATGATTTTATAAAATCCAGTGCCTGCTTCTTGCTCAGAAAGGCTCATTGCGATTATGCTGTGCAGAGCAAGAAACTGCTTGTTCTTGGTGACTAGCTAGCATTTAGCTTGATAAATAAAAGTTTGTTACCCAGCTCACTGATAAAAATCGCTGTATGAAAGTGTACACACAGCAGTGCGGATTAAGACAACTATTTCAGTTTGTTCCAAGTTTGATGTTTTGATACTTTTTGTTTAGCTGAGCCAAACCAGTCAGTGTAGTGTGTATAATTAGAGCTCTGTTAAGTAGAGCTGTGATTATTTTCCAGCATGTGCACTTTTTATAGGTTGAGTACACAGCATATGTGTTTGGTTGCTTGTAATTGGTCTGACTCATCTATAGGCATGTTACATATTAGGTTGAATTTCACTCCTCATGAAACTAAGTAAAAATAATCATACGAAATAAACAATACATAAAATGATTCAAATGTTCCTCAAAAATGTTCCTCAAAAATGTTTACTATTTATCTGATAGAAATAAGATAGAGTATTGTTTTATTATAAGAATAGTGCATTCTTCCAAAAATATGGGACAAAATTATTGGCACCCCTAATATTTTTTTGAATGAAAAATATATATATTTTTTTTCATTGCTCCTGCTCTCCAGGATCTATGCTGTCTGTGACCATTTGCTGTTTTTCCTGGAGTATAAATGTGAGGTTGCACACAAGTAAAATCTTTTAGTCATCTATCTACATGGGTAAAACTAAAGAGCTGTCAACCCAAACGAAAGAGAAGGTTGTGGACCTGCACACATTTTGGTAATGGTTTTAAAAAATGAATAGTCAGTTGAAATTACCAATAAGCACAATCAGGGCAATAATAAAGATCGAAAAGCCTGGAACATAAAAAAATTGCCAGGAAGAGGACACATGAGCATACTGCCCCCACATACAGTGAGGCAAAGAGGAACCCAAGATCATAGTTTCATAACTGCACAGTTTAGGTGAATCTTGGAGTTTTCAAATTTTAAAATCCACTGTCAGACACCACTACCATGGCCAGAAGCTTTTTGGATGAGTTCCACAAAGAATGGTCAGAGTGGTCAGATGTCATGTTGGTGAAGAAAAGGGACTGCATACATTCAAAAGAACCTGATACCCACTGTCAAATATAGTGGCGTATGACTGTGTTGGGGCCTTTTTTTAAAAAAATAAGAAAGAGTAAAAATAAAAAAAAATATGCATATGTGGTTTTCCATGGATTGAGTTTAGCTCATTTTCATGAAGGGTACTAATAATTCTGGAGTTGACTGTATGTGCATCGTAATGCCCCTATGGCACATGTGTGTTGGCTGTGCACATAGCACAAACTTTTTAACACTTGATGTTAGCAAGTTACGTATTCAGGCATTGTTAATTTTGCTGTATCAAAAGATGTATCATATCGTGTGCAGTAAATATCATACGGTCAGTGTACCTCTGTGAGACTCGTATGACCCTTACATGGGTGTTAAATCTTTGCTTGGCTGAAAAGCTTTAAAATTCTTATGGCCTTTTTGCTTGAGCTTGTATGTTTGATTGTTGTCTTGTGAAATGCACACAGGTTGTGATTACTACTTCTCTCTCTCTCTCTCTCTCTCTCTCTCTCTCTCTCTCTCTCTCTCTCTCTCTCTCTCAGGTAAGATGTTTCAGGCTCCTGATCTGAATCTTATAGTGGAGTTCATATTTATGTTCTACAAGGAGAAGCCTATAGACTGGTTGTTGGACCACATTCTCTGGGTGAAAGTTTGCAATCCAGAGAAAGATGCTGTAAGTCATCACTGTTTTGTGTGCACATGAATCCTGTCTTTTCTGATCGCTGTATGTTTTTTTTCTCCCCTCAAATCCTCTTGAGAGCTTTTCTGTGCTGTTGAGTGTTCTGAGCTGCTGAGGGCAGCTCAGCAGAGGCTTTTCACACCTCTGCGAATGGCAGACTGAGAGACTGCTCTGACCTTTACCTTCCTATTATCCTTCCACTCAGAGACAAGCCCTCCAACTATCCTGTCCCCTCCCACCCCACTCCATCCCTCTCTCCAATGTGGGCTCTTCCATCCTCTCTCGTTTAGTTTATGGCTGATTGGTATGCTGAACAATGCTTTGATGTATAAAGCCCTGTGTTCAAGGCTTGCTCATCACAGATACAGCATATAAAGATCATGGACAGGTGCTTCACAGGCCCTCTCCAGTAGTGCTGAGTGCTACGATTCAAAACCAAGGTCAATACACCCTGGCCACCCATCAATAAACATAAAATGTTTTGTCAGGTATAACTGTCACCTCACTGACCTTGGCTCTCCATTCTTCATCATTACTGTTTTTCCTGCTCGTCTTCATGCGGGTCATTTGATTGTTTACTGTAGATCAGGCTACTTGTGTAGTGGAGTAACAGTGCTGTCACTCGTGAGCAGAAACAGGCTGCAGGCTTTTTTTCACATATTTAATATAAATTCATTTTGAAATTGAGTTTGACTATTTACTACATAATTGTAAAATATAGGGCTTTGCTGGTTACTACTTTTGTAGTATTAGTCAGTTATTGCATCTTATGTTTAGGCTGAAACACAGCAGTTGTACTTGCAGTGAAACTCTGTCTCTTGAGTTAATTAAGCGTCTCTCTTTTCCTCTGTAGAAACACTGTGAGAGACAGAAGTCCAGTCTACGTATCCGCTTCAGACCCTCTTTATTTCAGCATGTGGGCCTGCATTCCTCCCTGGCAGGGAAAATTCAGAAACTCACGGTAAACTGTCTCTCTCTTACGCACACACACACACACGCGCGCGCACACAAACGTATGGCTAGGCTGGAGTCAAAATGGGACTGCAGAAACTTGCCAACTCAGATTTGTTTACAATGGTGGTAATGGATACCAGCACAAATATATTGATTCTATTTAATATAAAAATCAACAAGTGAATCTACATGTCATGTGAGTTTTTAAATGAAATGTTGATAGTGGTAAAATAGTGGCAAATCTGAAAAGTTTACTTTGAGTGCTTTTTGCCTTACAACACCCTGCATGTACTTCTCAAACTGGAATGTGTTAAAAAAAATTATAAGTTTTAGGCCAGGAGTTTATCTGAAATTTATCAGACAACAATGTATCAGGCATCAGACAACGTATTCATAACTATTTCATGTAATAGTTTTATGTCAAAAACTGTTTAAACACAGTCTAAACACAAAGGTGTTCATACTTGCTCTCAAAATTATTGTACAGTGTCTCATGAGATTGTTATAGATGA